GCAGTCCTAATGTATTCCACCTGAGGGAGAGTGAACAGGGGCTCATGACTCAGGCTTTGAAACCACCTAGCCTCCCCCGGGATAAAATGAGTGGAAACAAGGCAGTTCTCTCACATCTGTAAGACCTGACCCATCTCAATATTTGTTTTGCTGGAATGCTTTCATTTTGGGAAAACTAGTAAATGAGACTCAAAACCCACCTGATAGCCATCCCCCAGCCCACCCAAGCTCTGGGACCTGCCACTCTCCCTTCTGTTCGTCGGGTGCTCAGTGTATCTTGCCTGAGAAGTGTCCTGAGGGTGTGGATTTGCTCGGCTGCTTTGAGCAAGTGATGAGTCCGTGTTTCCATAGCGAAAAGGGCTCTGGTCTGGGAGATGAGCTACACCATTTGGAATCCCGAGGGCCTCTGAAAAGTCAGGCCAGTCCTCTGAGCCTCGGTTTTCTCATCTGAGGACGTTGACACCAACACCTGCCATGTGGGTGGTTGTAAAGGTCAGAAGAGGTCATGTGACAATGCCTAGAATGCCTTTTTAAAAACATTTATTGATTTGTTTGACTCTGCTGGATCTTCATTGCTGCACGTGGGAATCTTTAGTTGTGGCATGCAAACTCTTAGTTGTGGCATATGGGATCTAGTTCCCCGACCAGGGATTGAACCCGGGCCTCCTGCATTGGGAGCGCAGAGTCTTAGCCACTGGACCACCAGGGGAGTCCCTAGAATGCTTTAAATCACTGGAATAGTTCAGGCTGATAATAAGATGAGATGATAACTGGGGGTGGGTAAGGAGAAGAAAGAATCCAATTCCACCTCAAAGTCCTGTACTCTTACTTTCTGACCCAGAATCAGACTCTTGACCTTACAAAGGTCAGATGCCCACATGTCGAGTCTGCCCTTTCCAAGCTGGCCCTACATTCCGTGATGATAGGCAGCATCCTTAGCTGCCCCTCTGGGCACGTCTCGTCCAGCCAGAGCCCCTCTGTACAGGGACCCCAGTGGTGAAGCCCTGCAGGCAGTAGGATCATGCCTGGTGTGGACTTTGGCTAGAAGCAAGCCAAAGACATAAATATTGGCAGGGTGGAGATGATGGTTTTCCAGGCCGGTCACGGGCCCCAGACCTTCGTCAGTTAGATGGCATTTTTATGGCTCATTTTAGAGCCTGGACTTGGAGTTCAGGGCAGAACTCTGCTTCCCGTCTCCTCCTCTCCAGGCACACACACAGTGCTCACTTTGCTTCTGTGTCTAAGGAGTGTCGTCATCCCCACCCCGTGCAGTACTTTACAGCGTAGGAACGCCGGCTCAGTTTGGTGCTCCGGCATCAACCATGTGCCGGGCGCTGTTCCAAGTGCTTTACATCCACCTCATCTTAATCACCAGCAGCCCTGCGACAGCAGCCCTGCTGTAGCCCCCAAGTTGTGGGTGTAGAAGCCAAGGCAACAGGGCAGTCACACAGGAATGCAGAGGGGGGCTGGGACTTCAGTAAGGCAGTTTGGCTCGAGTGTTTTTTCTCAGCTGATAACGTAATTCTGGCTGTACAAGGTGCTCTCACCCTGTTTGAGCTGGACAGCAAACCTGTGAGCAAGGCAATACAGGTATATTATTCTTATTCCTATCACTAGATGGGAAATTAAAGCTCAGAAACTGTCTGAGTTCAAAACTCATGGTTTCAGTGGCAAAGCTGGAACAACTACTGGAGACTTCTCTCACCAGAGCCCACGGCAGGGCATTCTTCAGAGGGCTGGCAATAGCTCCTCCCTATCTGCCCTCAGGGCGACCGGGAGCCCCCCACACAGACCTGCCTTCCAATTTCCACATGTTCTCACCCACCCCGGGAGCCAGAGGGTTCGCCTGAGCAAATCTTCACGATGCCAGACCAGGCCTGATGTGAAACAAGTAATGGCTGCTCACTGGGGACTAGTCAGCCCTGCTCTGTCGTGGAAGGTGGAAGGATGCTGGGCCCTCCTGAGTCTTCCCTGGTCCCACTCAACTCAAGCTAATCACTCCTCCCTTCAAACTCCCCACTGTGCTTTGCATTTTCTTACAGTTATTTGTGCCATTCCCTTACTCAGCGGTGCCATTCCTTATCTCAGGGGGCATCTGGCATGGTGCAAAGCGGTAGGCGTGCGCTGCTCCAAGGGACCCCGCCTCCCCTGAGCTGTTCTGCATCATTTGATCGAGACTTGCAGGTACCCTCGCTGGTGAGCACTGTGAGAAAGGCTGCAAGCTGAGGAGCTACAGGCCCTAATGCAGCCCGCCAAAAAGGAGGGACACGTGGCGGTGTTTCCAGATACTGGTACCCCGGCCTGCCTACCTGCCTGTGAGTGATTTGCAATGTTCCTTCTAGTGCTCTCTTCCTTGTTTCCGAGGAAATAATCGAATAAACTTAGTCACCCTGAGTGATAGGATTTCAGGGTTGGAAGGAGCGTTATTCTACAGCCAAACTGAGGCCAGGAAGGGGAAGCGACAGCTGCTGTCACCCACGGAAAGATGCAGCACCCCTGCCCCCGACATTCTGCCCCAGAGAGGACCTCGCCTTGGCTTGAAGTGTTTCCTCACCAGCCCAGAGATCCCTGTGCTTTGGGGTGGGTCTCAGCATCCAAGGCCGCTGTTCGTGCCCAGATCCTGCTGGGAAGAGCACTCCCCACCCCAGGGCTCCCTCCCTGTATCCCCCCCCCAGAGCAGCTCTGGTCCCCAAAACCTGTGGCTTCCTTCAGCGGGCCCTCGGGAGGGGCTCTCAACATAGTTTTAATATTTCGGTTGTATGGTTACCTGAGATGATGCTACAATTGTTACTGATCAATAGATTTTATTTACTAGAGAAACATTCCAAAAGAGGGTTGATGGAGGGGCAATTAAAAGTGGTCATTTGTATTTAAAAGCCTGGGAACCACTGACAGAATCTTTATGTCCCAAATTATTTCCTGAAGTTGTTTCCCCAAATGGAATTTCGGGTCAGCAAGCCCTGATGAAGGCATATGGGCAGTGGGGAAGGAGGAGAAATGTTGGGAGGATTTCCAGAAATCTTCATTTCACACCTGACCCAGGTGAGGGCAGTGGAAAGAGAGGGGTGGTGAGAACCCCAAAGAAGCAGAAGGGCAGCGCTCCCAGCCCTGGAGGCTTCAGTCAGCCTGAAAATTGGGTTTCTTACTCAGCTGACTACAGCAAGGAAAACACACCTGTGCCCAACACTATCCCATGGGTCCAGGGCCTAAAAGAAATAAAGTAATAACTATAAAATAAACAAAAGGAATTGCAATTTGCCTTTGCATTTGTCTTAATGATTTTTCTCAGACTGTAACCTCAAAGGCCGTCTTGGTATCCTCACCCCGAGCCTCGTGCCCTGCTCCACAGGTAAGCTGACCCCACCCAGCATCTGGTTCCGGGGCAGGTTCAGAATGACACCAGGTGGAATGCTTGAAGGCTGGTAAAGTGAGGAAAACAGGTGTCGGAACATATTTTTTTAACCCATGACAATTCAGTTCATTTGAAAAATTGTTCAGGACTACTTGGCCAAGCTCCAGTTTGTTGGTTTTGTAAAAGCCTCTTTCCCTGCAAATCAGTCTGCGCAGGAAAGATCACCCTTCCGGGGGGTAATCAGGAAGCCCCAGGAGGTGCCGGTCCACGAGTCTGGGTTGTGAGCTTCCACCACCACAGGGCCTGACGTGGCAGCCCTCTCTCTGGCTCCATGTTAACGTGAGAAGTCTTGGGTGAGAAGTCTTTCTGGGGACAGCCTCAGTGTCTGTGGCAACAGGAGGGAGCCTGTCCTCTCCGGGGATGGGCTGCCCCAACAGACAGGCTGCCCCGGAGCCTGCGCAGACTCGCCTTGGGCGTCCTCTGGGAAGAAGGTCGTGAATGGTGAGGCGTGCGTCACCGTCCCTCCTATCTTGTGTCCTGCTGGGAAGCAAGTTTGTTCTTTGTGCGTCTGGTTCTGAAATGTAGTGGGACAGTGGGAGTGGACTAGGTAGGCTCACCACACCCTTCCCCTAATCCCTCATGACAAAAGGTGATTCCCTGGGTCACATGAAGGAGGGGTGAGTTCCCGAGTCCTAGGGATTGCAGAGAGCAGAGGTGGAAAACCGGAGGCTCGACCTACCCCTCGATGGTGAAACTGCTGTGTGGGTACAGCCTAGGAAGTAAACAGACGTGAAAGCGTCCCTTCCTGTCTTTCTGGGGCCATCCTGGAGGGACTCCATCCCCCTCTGGCTTCTCTTCACAGGCCTTGGGCGTAATTTCCACAGACACGCCTAAGAAAACGGTCTCTGGGGTTAAAGGATCCTCCTCACATTTTACAACCTCTAATCTGATTGTTTAGTACCTGCTCTTTGAACTGTTTTTGTTAAAATGATGCATACCCAGACAAGACCAAAAACTACAAGAATCACCTGAAATCCCACCATCCATAAGTGACAGCTTTAACCCTTTGATGGCCACCCTCCATAAACACAGCGTGCTCGTATGATTAGACATGACTGTGCTGCCCTGTGACCTGGTGTACGGTGTGCACAGGAGTCCTTCTTACTCCTCAAGTGGACATGGTACTACTCACACCTAAAACAAGAAATGAATAATCCTGCTGTTCCTGGTGACAGTTTACGTGCTTATAGTTCTTTGTAGTAAAAAGCAATTGTACCTCCTTGATCCCGTGGAAACTTGGGGCCGGGAGGAGACCTCTGGGGCTTCCATCGCCCTTGTCTGTGTGCTCAGTTCTAATCACCCCTCATCGTTAAGTTGTAAAGTGTAGTTCTTTACAGCTTAGAAAGCACCTTTACATTATTTTCATTGATCATCACGAAATGAGACGGTGGTAAACGAGACAAGTAATCACAGTGCGATGATGGTGCATGTGGAGACTCACGACTCCATGTGTGCAAGGCACTAACAGTCACAGCGGCATTTACTGAGAAGCCGCAGCGCCAGGCTCTGTGCAGGGGGCCTCACGTGGTCTCGGGATCCCCATCCTAGAGAGAGAATGCCTGAGGGTCAGAGAAGTCAAGTAGACCGATTGCGTGTCCCCAGTGGACCCTGGCAGGATTCTGATCCAGACGTTTCTGACTTGAGCATCCCTTCGGGCAGCACTCGACAAAACTCGGACCTGTGTGTCGTCTCCACTTCATAGATGAGGAAACCAAGGCCAGAGGTGAATGACTTGCCTCAAGTCCCAGGGCCAGGATTCTAACCATTTGCTTCTAAGCTGCTGCTTCCACTGCATGGGACCAGTCCCTTTCCTGTAACTAAAGGTGCTGGGTGGCAGAACTCTTCCCTCAAATCTCTGGAGAAGGGAGTTCTTGCTAAGATCCTTCAGGGAATTCCCTGGCAGTCCAGTGGTTAGGACTCCACAGTGGTTGGGGAACTAAGATCCTGCAAGTCGCGTGGCGTGGCCAAAGGAAAAAAAAAAAGATCTTTCAAAAATCCTTCCTGCCGCACTGAAACCTCTGTGCCTTCCTCAGAGGGAGCAAAGGTCAGCCTCTTGCGCAGAGACCGAGCTTGCTGCCACGCCCAGGCATGAGCCGAGGAGCTCAGAGCAGGCCCAACCCATCCCTTCTTCGTGACTTTCTTGTGCTTTCAGCATAGGGCAGAGTTGTCTAACTCATCCACTCCTTTCAGAGAGGAGAGAGCAAGCGCGCATTTATTCTTGAGGATATGAAACAAAGGATGATGAAACAAAATGGAATGAGATGCAGGGAAACTATTTAAATGCGGGGTGGGTGGAAGGCACATACAAGGAATGAAACAGCATCTTTTTGACATGTAGGCAAAGGATGGGCTTGTGAAGGCAATGAGGCAATCAAAGTTAATATTTTCCTCTTTAAAGACAGCAATTTTTATTCATAAAGCCCTCCTTGCTGGCACGAGCTCAAAGCATTTACTGAGTGCTGGATAATTACCCCTCCCAACAAACAATCTGGCAGGTAGGAAAAGAGAGATAATTATCCCTATTTACAGGTGGGGAGACGGAGCCACAACCAAAACCAGCTTCCGAGACCTGAAACCAGAAGGTGAGCCTCCTCATGGCACCTTCCGCCCCTGCGTCCAGACGTCCTCCTGAGAAAGGACAGCCCACTTGCTGGCAGGGGCTCGTCGGGAACTACAGCTCCCAGCAGACACCGAGAGGGGACGCTGTGCCCCTAGGGCCCGCTCCAGATTCCCAAATATGGAGAAGGACTGGGTTGGGGAAGAGGAACCGAGTGTTCCCCCTTGAGAGAGGGAGAGGGGGGAGGGTGAGGTAAGATCGGAATAGTCAACTCTATCACCTAAACGCCTGCCTGGGCTTTGAAAAGCAGCAGCCACAGTCATGGCCTCAGTAAATCTTTCTAGAAGAGCTCACCTTGAAATCAGGCAGTTATCTCAGCAGAGCCCTGTTTTCTCCTAAGATTAGGTGTGTGCTGTTCTAGGAGGGCAGATACCCTTTCTCTGAGTCCGACCAGCTCAGAAAGTGATGTTGGCAGTGGCGGGAAAGGAATCCAAGTGGAGGACAGCTCTGCTGCCATGGGAGCGACATTCCAGGGGCTGGGCTGGCAGCCGAGCCCAGGATGAGCGGGGAGGGCAAGGGTTACTCTTTTCCTGCTGTGGAGGCTGCTAAGCCCGCCTGGTAGGAAAGGACTCTTTCCCGTTCTGTCTTCATTGTGTCAACAAACATTTCTAAAAGCACATCCACTCGAGGTCCTGGGCTGGATGCTGGGCAGGATACGCATCACCGAGACCAGATCTCTGTCCTCAGGACGCTTTCTACAGGGGAGGACAGGCACACGAGGAAACAATGCGAGGCGGTGTGCTTTTTGTTTGTTTGTTTTTTATTTTTGGCTGTGTTGGGTCTTCATTGCTGTGCGCGGACTTTCCCTAGTTGCAGCAAGCGAGGGCTACTCTTCGTTGCGGTACGCGGTCTTCTCATTGTGGTGGCTTGCTGTGGAGCACGGACTCTAGGTGCGCGGACTTCAGTAGTTGTGGCACGTGGGCTCAGTAGTTGTGGCGCACGGGCTTAGTTGCTCTGTGGCATGTGGGATCTTCCTGGACCAGGGCTCGAAGCCGTGTCCCCTGCACTGGCAGGTGGATTCTTAACCACTGCACCATCAGGGAAGTCCCAGGTGGCGTGTTATTTACACTGTTCATCTAGCGTTGTTACCCACCACCCACCATGTGCCAGCCGCTTGGAATCCGATGGGAAAGACAGAAAAAGCAAAGCTTCTGCTCTCGTAGATTTCCGTTCTGGTAGCCCTGGATGTCGGGGGGACGAGTCCTCCAAGCAGCGGGAACAGCAGGTGCAGGGCCTTGAGATGGACATGAACTTGGTGAGTCTGAGAGTGACCAGTGGGGCTGAGGGGCCGGATGAGGGCAAGAGCAGGAAGAAACAAGTAAGAGACCTGGGCCGGGTCGAGTCACGCCTTCAGAGCTGTCTAAGGATGAGATGCGTGCATTTCATTCCAATCCTAACAGAAGCCGTTGTTTCTGGGCAGTGGTTTGACATCTGAGGTACAGTGCCAGACTTCCAAAGGAGTTTGGAGTGGCGAGGAGAGGTGTCCCTGAGCTGAGTGGGCAGGGAAGGGGAGCAGAGTGGGGAGCCGAGCGTCACGGGGCAAACAGGAAGATCTCCAGGAGCCAGGATGGTACCTGGCGGGTTCCGATCAGCAATCTGCCGCAGCTGTGGTCGTGTGAGGGTAGCGGGTGGTGCGGCCGGAGGGGAGGAGATTTACAGTCTCCACGTCAGAAGGCTCTGGAGCACAGTAATGTGGACACTATTCTCAGGCTTCCGTGTCCATTTGAGGACCTGGTCTCCTCCAGGCGCCGACATCTGCTCCTGAAAGACTTGATGCTATGAAGGCTTTCAAGTCCCACGTTGAAATTGAGGTGACTCCGAAGAGCACCGTTTACATTGTGAAAGGCGCCGCATCGAATGACACAAGCCGCAGGCGGAAGGTACCCTCGGGGCCGTGCACAGCGGAGGTGCTGGTCCGTGTTCTGGGGGACGGAGCGCCGAGTAGCCGCCGGGTGACTCGCAGTGCTTAGCGGCTTCCTTCACCACTAAGACGGAAGCCCCGCGAGCCGGCTGCAGAGCAGCAAGGGGAACGGGGTGCAGAGAACCGTGAGACAGGCGGAGGGTAGGATGGAAAAGAGAGGGATTGAAAGAGGAGGCCGGGGAGAGGCACTAAGAGGGGAGTAAAGGGTGGTGGGGGGTGGCTGGGCTCTCGGGAGCGCTGCCCCGGGTCTAGAATCCCTCTCCTGCTGTGGTTGTCTCGGTGCCACTGGCCTGTGGGCCTCAGGACGGCGGCTGGCTGCCCAGCCGAGCCACACTCTGCTCTGGGGTCTGTCTCATTAAGACCCCGCCCCTGAGACAGTCAGCCTGACCTCCAGTTCCTGGACAGCAGGACAAGCTGTACACCTACCTTAAGCGCCTCACCAGGGGTCTCGTCCTAAGTGTTCCCTTTCTACCTGAATTTGGGGGAACCATGGTGCTGTCCCAATAGGTCAAAGCAGAATAAACTCAAAGCGAAGGCCATGCCCGGCCACGCCCTCTTCTTCCCCAACCTCAGCAGGCAAACGGAAGGGCACTTGCCCGAGCAGGGGGCGGCAGGCTGCTGTGCGTGCGGCGGCTTCGGGGGGGGGGGGGGGCGGTCATTTCACGTTCCCGGCAATAGGAAGTGGCGGTCACACCAAGGCTCCGCCACCCACCATGTGCCAGCCGCTTGGAATCCGATGGGAAAGACAGAAATTTGACAGCAAAGCTGTCAGACACAGGAGGCCCAGCAGAGCCCACCGCGAGCCCAGACTCCAGCGGCGTCTCCTCCCCAGCCTCTCACGGGCCTCCAGCCCCCTGGTCGCTGCACGTGAGCAGGGCTGCCCCTTACTTCCGGCTGCACGCCCACTCAGGAACAGGGGAGCAGCCAGACCTCAGCGTGGCGGTCTCCATGTGCGTGTGCGGCAGGAAGCCTCGCCCCCCTAAGCTGCCCTGCGCCGCACCACGGGCCCGCTGCTCCCGAACCTGGGCTCTAGTACGGGCTGCATACTTGGCGGGGGGCCGAGGCCCCCGGCGCACTGGGCCCCCATCACCTCTGCAGGCAGTGGCCCGCATCACCTCCGGGACCCTCCCCGCCTGCCTTCCCAGCCCTGCTCTCACGCCCAGCTCCAGGCCGCTCTCCTGACCCACCCTGCTCTCCCCAGACCTGGGCCTCTGAGCGGCTTACTCCCTCCTCTTGGGGTCCCCTTCTGGCTTCCTGGACAGGCTCACCCCCAGAGTTCAGCACAGTTATCACCTCCTCTGGGAAGCTTCTCCTTGACCCCCCCCTTCTCAGGTAGATTCAGTGCCTCCCTGGCTGTGTTCTTGTAGGGCCTGTACTTGCCTGTATTGTAGCGGATGAGCCATCTGTTCACTTCAGAGAAGCCCCCTGTGAACAGCTAACTCCTTTAGGGTAGAGAGCTGTGTATTTTACTTTTGTATTTCCAACTCCGAACCCAGTGAGGTGGTCGTGAATGTTTGTTGAATGAGTGAGTAGCCAGGATCCCTTGGCCTAATGAGTACCAAGGTCTCCTCCAGTGAGGTCTGATAAAGAAGTAAGGCAGGACCTGGGTTTTCTGGGCCAAGTAACACTTCCCCTCCTAGAACCCTGGCTTCGCTGGCGCTCTCAGGGCCCCCTCTGCCTTCCCCGCTCCCACCCAGTCGTCACCCCCGCGTCGTGCCACCCTCTGCCCTGAGGTTCCCCTTCAGGACTTGTTTGGCCACGAAAATACTAGTGCCTTTCCGCATTACCAAGAAGAGGGCACCTGCGTCCATGGTTGTCAGCTTTCCTTTCCCCCTCCTCCTAGATCAGGAGCATGTTGGCTGCTGGCACCTGTCCCAGACTGTGTCAGATGGGGCCCCGTCCCCATCCATCCCAGCTCCCCACTGAAGCAGGGAGGGGCCACGAAACCTCAGCAACGGTCTAGAGGTGAGAAGTGAACTCAGTATGAAAAATAAGATTTGTGCAAGCAAAGCACAGAGGTTGAGATGATCAGCATTTAAGGGGAGGGGAGGCCTGGTGGGACGCGGCTGGTCCTGTCCCGGAGAGCTCTTGCAGGCAGGTTGGGGAGCTGGGCTGGAAGGTCAAGGAAGTTAGGTGTCCACGGCAAGTGCTCCTGACGTGCTCAAGGTTTTAATAGATTTCCACCGCAGGGTGTCTGCTTGGGGTCAGGGTTGGGGGTGAGTGCGAGACCCCGGGAAGTCCTTCCTGCTCTGGAATTCCATGCTCAGGGATGGCTGTGGACTTCCGGGGACCCGAGTACCATTCATTGGAGCTATTTTTGGTCTGCAGTAAGTTAGCCAGGCCGCGGGGCTGGGAAAGCGCTACCGCTGAAGGAGGTGATTCACTGGGACAGGATGCCCTGAGGCCACGTTGTGAGCCCCTGGGATCCCAGAACAAGGGTCTCTAGTGTTTGGGACGCCCTGGGTTCAGGGGGTAATCTCTGCAGGGCCTTCAGCAGAGAGAGGGCAGGGAGGGCCCTCAGATGAAACGGCAGAGGCTTTTGAACTCCTTCTCCCATACCTGACGTCAGCCCATGAGCCAGGTTTGACTGCACAAACTATCCCGCTGGGTGCTTATTAGTATCCCATTTGACTGAGGCTCAGAAAGGTTAAGAAACTTGCCCGAGTTTACCAGGTAGCAAATGCCAGAGCCAAAATTCTAACCCATAAATCTGACAGCAAAGCAACTGCACCACAGCACTCCATGCTTGAGGGCCCCTCCCAGAGGGACGGAGCCAGTGTGTCCCGGGGAGGGAGGGGGATGCATGGGAGAGGACTGAGCTCTCGGCGCCCAAGGGGCACACTGCGGCATCCTGCGTTGTCCTTTCCTCCAACCCTTTCATTCCAGCAGGGCCAGCGCTCAAAGGCTCTGCAGGAGAAGAGTTTGGACCTGAAGAGGTGTCCTGAGGCGGTGGACAGAGCTCTCGTCTGGGCAGGAGTGTCCTGGTTCTTTTTCTGGTTAATGCAGGACAAGCTACTTACCCTCTGATCCTCAGTTCCTTTATCAAGGAAAGGCAGTGGGATGGGATAGAGGAATTAGGATGAGTAAATGCCCACTGTACTGACCTCACTAAGTTACAAAGACAAAACGGAACCCTGAATAAATAAGTCACCAAATATAGTCATGTTATAAAAATCCTAAGTTCTTATCTAGTTGACTCTCCAGCTCAAAATGTTTTGTAGATATATTTTGGCGCTCAAATGGCTCAGCCCAAGTCGTGAGGCGTCCTAGGGTTCTCTGTGAGTCTCTCTGGCCAAATCACCCAAGGTCATCCTCAAACCCTTGACTGGTTCCACTCTTGAGCAGCTGTTTACTTCTGACATGAACAGCCTCAATTCCACTTTCTGAAAAGTCAAAGAGCCCGGCTCTTTCTCCCCACTGGAACTTTGCAGAGTCCACGTCCATAACTCGGAGTCCTTGGTCTGGTCACCCCCTTCAGTCCACGTCCAAAAGAGGCCACGGCTTGTCCACATTGTATCTTCACAGCTAACTCAGCGCACGGCACACAGCGGTGCTCGGCGAACTTTGATGCATACGTGAACTTTCCCCTGATTTCTCCCCCCCCATCCCCACTGATGTTTTCATTGCCATGGAGATGGGGATATTTCTGACCTCATCCTTTGGGAGTACCACAGAGATTAGCTAATTAATAAGGTGGGGAGGGCGAAGCTCTCCTGGCACTTAGTGTTTAACCGAAATGGCTGGGAGACAGTGGTGAAACCCCAGGGCCTTCTCAGAGCATCGTGAAGACACACAGTGGGAGCCCTGACCCTTGATGTTCGTTGCTCTGGGACCCTCCTCTCTTCTGTTGGCAGGCGTTCCCCCAGCGTCCATCCTGGAGGCTGACCCCCCTACCAACTCCCCTGCACAGTGCCCCTCCCTCAGGGGATCCTTCCTGCAGCTGTGCAACAGCTGGAGCCTTTGGGAGCCCCGCAGGGTCCAGAGGCCACAGTCACCTGCTGCCAAAGTCACCCCCCCGCACCCCCCACTTTCCCGTTTCCCAGATCAGGTGGGCGGGGGTGGGGGGCACGGGTCCAAGGGTATGAGGAAGGGCAGTTTACTTGGCTTTCCCCCGTGATAGAAAAGTGAATTGGAATGGCCACTGGCAGTGAATAAACCAGAGCAAAAGACCCATGCCAGCTGGTGACCACTGGAAAAAAGCAGCAAATTCATGAATTACCCTATTTACACCAGAAATAAACTAATAGTTTGGACCTTTGCTTGATAGGTTGTGCTGGAATTATAGGCCGTTCATGAAGACACATGCGTGAAGCTGGTTTCCACCCCTCCTTACTCATTGACGGCTTTGGCACCAAACCCTAATGTTCCACTCCACCAAGCCTTGCTGGCATCCTGGGTAATCAGTGTCAGACAGACCAACCGTTTACAAACTGGGAATCGCAACCCATTAGTGTGTCAGGAAACTGATTTGGAGGATTGTGACTAGATTCTTTTTTTTTTTTTAAGAAACAGTATAGAAATAAAATATCAGAGTACTTCACATGTAGGAAGGGTAGTTTGGGGGTAAAATGTTTATTTCAAAGACATGTATGTTATTATATGATAACATATACTAATAACATATTATTTCAGTAACATAATACATGTGTACTAGGTCATGACATCAAATACACTTTTTATTATGGACCATAGTCAAAAGTTTAAAAGGGATAAGAGTATGTATAAAGGAATACTATTCAGCCTTAAAAGGAAAGGAAAGTCTGACACAGGCTACACTGTGGATGAACCTCGAGGACATTGTGCTCAGGGAAATAAGCGAGTGACGAAAGGACAGATACTGTGAGACTCCATTTATAAGAGGAGCTTAAATAGTCACATTCATAGAGACAGAATGTACAGAGGTGGTTGCCAGGGTCCAGATGGGGGGCAGGGAGTGGGGAGTTCGTGTTCAGCGGGAACAGAGTTTCAGTTTTTTGTTTTTTGTTTTGTTTTATTTATTTATTTGGCTGTGCCGGGTCTTAGTTGTAGCAGGCGGGATCTTAGTTCCCTGACCAGAGTTAGAAGCCGCGCCCCCTGCATTGGGAGCGCAGAGCCTTAGCCACTGGACCACCAGGGAAGTCCCCAGAGTTTCACTTTTGACGATGACACATCCCATGGACGCCGCCAGCCGTGGTGGTAGCACAACACAGGGGAATGTGCTGGCACGCGATACTCTCGTTGCTCTCAGTACACTTCCAGTGATCAGGAGGGTAGATTTTATGTTTTGTGTGTTTCACCACAGTTTTTTAAGAAGCTGCAGGGGAAGCCTCCTGGGTCCTCACTGTCAGTGACGTCACCCCCACTCACTCCCAGCTCCCTTTCTCCAGGGCCGTCCCCAGGAACCGTTCACCGCCCACCCGCTGACCTAGGCCTCCTGCCTTTCCTGCTTCCTCCCCTTCTGAAACCCGCTGTGCCCGCGCCCCCAGCTCACAGCATCATGTAAGCCCCTGGTCACCCAGCTCTTCTGGTCGGGCCACCTTCACTCCTTCCCGGTCTTCGTGAGGGCCCTGCCCTCCACTCATCCCCCGGAACTGCACCAAGAGTGAGGTGTCTGCATTTCAGTCTGATCTTCACGCTTCCCCACTTGAACCCCCAATGGCTCTCTGTTGCTCTGAGGGAAGCCGTTAGCCGGGCAGAGAAGCCAGCTGGACGTCGCTCCTGGCTAACCTGCACACCGCCCGCCCATCCTCCTTTAACTGTACTTGCAGTTCCCCGAGTTCGCCCAGCTTTCCTTTGCTTCTGAGTCTTGGCCTGGGGTCTTCCCCACCTCACTTGTTCTGTACACGCCCAAGTCCTATCACTCGAGCCTGGGTTGGCACCCAGCCCCTCTGAGAAGTTTCCCTCTGCCCTCGTAAGGCCAGATCTGGGGCCCTTGAGTGAGTGAGGTCGGATCAGAGCACTTATTGTGCGGCACAGCAGTTCCTTGTGTGAGTCTCCTCTCCTGACTGTCCTCTGTGCCCTCCTGAGGCCGGCGCTGCACCCGATTCCTCCCTGCGTCCCTGGGCCTGCCACGCTGACTGCCCCACGGTGGACACTCTCTGAGGGGTGAGTGGGTAGGCACAGGAGGATGTTCGAATGTATGGATTTTCACAGGTTTTGAAATTCAAATCTGGGAATCAGTTTTGGTCAACACTTTCAGCTGGAAATACCTTTGATCAAGGTCTAAAGAATGATTTATCCAAATTAGTAACAGTTGCTATATTTGTGTAACATTGAACATCCTATAGAACACTGTCATTTCTTTTTCTTATTTGACACAATAACTTAAGTAAGAAGGAAGGCCTTTGTCATCACACATGGCACGTGAGGAAGCTGTGGGTTGTCCAAGGTCAGCAAGTTAGTCAATGGCAAAGGCAGGACAAGGGCTTACATCCCTCCCACTCACTTTACCATGATCCCTTTAACTTTCAGAAATGAAAAGAATCAGAGTAATTAGTCCTAAAATCAGGACGTTTCAGAGAACAGGGAGTATATATTTTCTGGCCTTTATAGGGTCCTACTAAGGTCCCAGTTCACAGGTACTTAGTAAATATGAACTAGCTCCACTCTGGCAAAACCATCCCTGCTGTGCCTTGCTTCTTCTACATTTTCCAGAAAAAGAAACAAAACCAAGCCCCCTAAGGACTGCTGTCCAGCAACGTGCTGGGAGTTTTTCCTTGTATTCGCTCTACACCTCTGTGTTGCAAAATCCAGCCCAGTTTCTTTTATTTGATTCTCAGCTGTGAGAATATTATTTGTACCCCATCTGCATCCAAAGAGTTAGAAAAAAGAAAAGAGTTTATCACTCATCCCCATAAAATAACCTCTTCCTCTGCCCTTCCTAGTCCAAGGTAAACAGTTCTAACTGCATTTGGCAAAGGATCTATTTTCCAGTCACTTTATTTTTTTCTTATACGGACACTACCAATTGTTCCCAGTCTCTTTTTTACTTTTAAAGCCAACACTGGACATCGGTCACTAGTAAGATCTGGTTAAAGCCAAGAATAGTGAGAGGATGACTTCAAGGACATTGGGCCACTTTAGAGCATCTCAGGCACACAAATCCAGCTGCTGTGCGCACAGGGCAAGTACAGAAAGATCAACCAAGGCGGCAGAAAGCCCTCCCTCCTCCTGCACAGGCACCACGGCCGCTCTCCCCTCTGTCTAGGTCAGTTAAGTACTGATAACTGTCTTTTGCAAAGGAAAAGTGACCAAAGCCTGAAGCTCTGATTTCAGGGACATTGAGAAGGTCCTGGTCTATGTAATCACAAGTCCTGGAGTTTTCAGAATTATCCCGACTTCAGAAACAACATTAAATGACCCTAGAAGTTGCAACATTTCTATTTCTGAATTATACCTAAGAAGAAGCTTCTTACATCTAAAATCAATTATAAAAAAGATCTTTTGGTGGACAATGTGTCCGAATTTTTTTTTTTTTTTTTTTTTTTTTTTTTTTTTTTTTTTTTTTTTTTTGCGGTACGCGGGCCTCTCACTGTTGTGGCCTCTCCCGTTGCGGAGCACAGGCTCCGGACGCGCAGGCTCAGCGACCATGGCTCACGGGCCCAGCCGCTCCGCGGCATGTGGGATCTTCCCGGACTGGGGCACGAACCTGCGTCCCCTGCATCGGCAGGCAGACTCCAAACCACTGCGCCACAAGGGAAGCCCAATGTCCGAATTTTTTATGTAAAAAGATAGTCAATAAATCCAAGTTTCTCACAAAGCAGCATCGTCCTGCTCGCCCCAGCCTACAACTCCACGACTAGAGCTTCATTCCTTTTTACTGTAAGGCGTTGCCAGGGCTATTAGTGGGCAAATATCCCCATGAGAGATGCTATTTTATAAACTTTTATCAGACATAACTTGGAATGTGTCTTAGATTCTTTGCTGAAAGCAAAGTTTTGATCAGGAGAGAGGAAGGCAAGAGCTAAGATTAAGGTGATGTTGTTCAACCATTTTGTTATTATCACATCTTAAAGAGTGTTTTTTAGTATCTTTTTTCTGATTGACACTCCCCCAAAGAAATTTTAATACTATAGATACACTGTATATCTGTTTGTGTGTGGTGTGAATATCAGTGCTTTATACATAAAAATACTAAGGTGTTTTTCAGACCCTAACCTGAGAACCAGTCCCCCTGCTTGGGGGCAACAGCGCCCGTGAGCATGCGTCTGGAGAAGCCACCACCCACAAGGGAAACGCGAGTTTGGCTAAGAAGTTGCGGCACCTGAGCCAAGCTCCTTGGGCAGAGCTGCTTGGCCGGTCCGACCATGCTGCCCCCTGCATCCCAGACTGCAGGGCCAGGATTCAGCCCGCGCAGCCTCCCTGGGTCTCGTTCTTCCAGCCCTGACAGGACCCAGGGTAACAGCCCCTGAGCAGGACAGAATGTTGCTGGGCATGTAGATTCCCAGGCGACATGGGTTCACTACGGACGCAGAGGTGTTAGTTCACAGGGCTGCAGGGATGGGCTGCACTCTCCACCCTGTGGCGGCTGAAGGGAGGGCCTGGCACCATGGAACACGTGACTGGCAGAAAGGGGGAAGGAGTACCAAGGCCCCCGCCCTGGAGGCAACAAGACACTGCTAAGAAAAACCATCGCCAAGTGCTCACCAGAGCCAATGGTGTCTTTTTTTTTTTTTTAATTCTAGTTACTGCCTTGGTAACTGGAAATTCCAAACTGTCTGATTTTAAAAGAGCCCGAAAGATGAAAGATGAGAAGAAAAACAGAGGAATTAGAAATCCGAGGCAGCAAAGAGCAGCAGATAAAAAGCTGCCCCCCGACAGATGCAGATCTGGACAAAGAGAAAGTAAACAAGATAACCCCAGCTAGGGTTGTCCAAGGAAACAAGAAAGGTTTCTATAAATATAACCAGAAAAAAAATATTTGTCTTAGCTGATGAGATCACCACACATGGCTCATGATAGGGATCTTTTGTTGCTCCCTTAATTGAAGATTGGAGGAGAACAAAACTGAGGCAGAACTCAGACTACTGGCCACAAGGCCTGGGTTCCAGCAAGCAGGCTCAGTTTTAATTAAATGCAGCTGGAGTCATTAAGACGTGATGCCATCGATCTGGACTGTGGCCTGTATTTTCACTGACGTGCTGGCCCCGACGCCCAGCAACAAACAGGCTGGCGGCTTCTCCACACCCTGCAAATGGGGTCAAACACAAGAGGAAGCATGTGGCCCTGGACGCAGATCTAGGGGCGAGAGAGGCTTCCCAGGGACCCCTTCGTCTCTGCAGGGGTCACTGTGTGGGACCAGAGCAGGAGGGGAGCTGGAATCCCTCCAGATGTCCACCCCGCTAGGGGCCAAGCCGCATTCCAGGCTGGGACTGTGGCAGTGAACGGGGCAGGTCCCCACCTCGAGGAACTTCCACTTGGAGCAGGGGTGGGAAATGGGGGCAGCGGGAGACAGACAACACAGTGATTACGTCAGGTAATTTCCCATGCTGACAGGTGCTTGGGGACAGAACATGAAGCGAGGCGGGGTGATGGGAGGGGCCCACTAGCTCAGGAGGTGAGGCGGGGTGATGGGAGGGGCCCACTAGCTCAGGAGGTGAGGCTGGGTGATGGGAGGGGCCCACTAGCTCAGGAGGTAGGGCAGGCCTGTCTGAGCAGGTGTTGCCACCTGGAAGGTGAGGAGGCCACCGAGTCCCAGGGTGAGTGTTTCCATGGAGGGAAAGTCTCTGAGTCAGGAAAGTACTCGGCATGTTGAGACGACATACAGAAGGCCAGTAGGGCAGTATCCTGTAGACCACGGGAGAAGGGGCAGGTGCCCGCAAATGCAGACAGGGCCAGTTTTGTAGGGCCTGGTAGGACACGGGCAGGGATTTGAAGTCTGGAGAATTTTTAGGGGAAGAGCGCTATGATGCAGTATCTGTCTATTTTAGAAAGATCACTAGGGCTCATGTGGAGGACGGACCCGGCCAGAG